TGAACTACATTTCCCAGTAGGCTTAGCCACACGACTGCCCTTTGGACTTTAATCAGGAAGCGTCTTGAAAAGAGGACTAGAGTCCTTCTGCAAAAGCCGAGATGGCAGTGAGGATTGCGGTTTTGCCTTCTCCTATATGCCTTTACGACGATCCCGTTCAAGTTAAAGTAGAGGGTCTCTCTGCACTGCAGGCTGTCACTCTCCGGGCCTCGTTGGAGGATGAAACCGCAGAGCTCTTCCAGTCTTTTGCTTACTACAGAGCCGACCGCAAGGGAGAGCTGGACCTCACGGACGCCGCATCCCTGGGTGGGAGCTATTCTGGAGTGGAGCCTATGGGACTGCTCTGGTCTCTGGAAGCCAAGACCCCCTTCAGGCGGCTGGCGAAGAGGAACGTGCTCACCCCTTTTTACGTCACTTACGAAGTGTACGAGGGCCACGGGGTCAGCGGCCAGCTCCTGGGCCGCTGCATCAGTGAGAGGTGGTTCCTGGCCGAAGGGGTGGAAAGGATCCCGGTGCGAGAAGGCCGTCTCAAAGCCACGCTCTTTCTGCCCGCGGGTGAGTGTCGTTCGCACTGGGAAGGGAACCATGCTGTCGGTGGCACAGGGTGATGGCTCACCTGTAAGTATTCCACTTCCCACCCACAGTTACTGGTTCCACTCTGAGTGATGTGTCCCAAGAGAAAAAAACAACGCCAGCTATTTTTAGGCTCTGATCCTTGTTCTTGGAAGGGACTTAAATGAAACCATTTTGGTCTGGATGGAGTTTTCATGGTTATCTTCAGCATTACCAGTGTCCATTTTGCACCACCTCTTCTGCAGCCTTATAAGTGTCCCTCCTGATCCAAATGGCTGCGATCACACACACTAAATAATCCACTTTCAATCCACTTTTGAATTGGATTTTTTTTGCCAGTTCACACAATAAAATCCAGTTGGAAAGTGCATTGAAAGGGGATTTTATTTATTTATTTGATTTATATACCGCCTTTCCCACAAGCGGGCTCAGGGTGGTTTACATCAGTACCATTAAACAATCATTTAAGAACAGATTAAAACAACATAAAATCACAGATTGTAAAATCACAAAATACCATGTAAAGCAATTTGTTCAGATGTCTATCAGATTAATTTAAATATAGCAGTGGTGCCCTGATGTCAAATTAGAACCTGGCCACTGGTAGGGGGCTGGCCAGGAAAAGGGAGGGACGTCCGCCACCCCAGCCAAAAGCCCAGTGGAAGAGCTCCATCTTTCAGGCCCTGCGGAACTGTAGTAAATCCCGCAGGGCCCTGATCTCATATGGCAGCTCATTCCTCCAGGTAGGGGCCAGGGCCGAAAAAGCCCTGGCCCTGGTCGAGGCTAGACGGATGTCCCTGGGGCCGGGGACTGCCAGAAGATGTTGATTTGTGGACCTCAATGTCCTATGGGGCTCATATGAGGAGAGGCGGTCTCAAAGGTATGCTGGCCCCTGGCCTTATAGGGCTTTAAAGGTAAGCACCAGCACCTTGAAACGGATCCGGAATTCAATAGGCAGCCAGTGCAGTTTGTGCAGCGCTGGGTGGATACAAGCCCACACAGGCGTAGCCGTCAACAGCCGTGTTCTGCACTAGCTGCAATTTCTGGAGCAGAGTCATGGGCAGCCCCATGTAGAGAGAGTTATAATAATCCAGTTTAGAAGTGTCCATTGCATGGGTCACTGTAGCTAGATCCTGTGGGGTGAAGTATGGGGCTAACACATGGAAAAAGGCAGACCTGACAGTGGTGGTGACCTGGGCCTCCACAGAAAGGGAGGCATCCAGGAACACCCCCCAGGCTCTTCATCCTTGACATTGAACCAGTGGAGCCCCATCGAAGGTTGGGAGCCTGATTCCCTGACTCAACCCCCCATGACTCAGGTGCAGGACCCCCGTCTTTGATGGATTTAGCTTCAGTCGGCTCTGTCACAACCATCCAGCCATGGCTTGTAACGCCTCGTCCAGATCTCCTGGGGCTGTGTCTGGGAGGCCGTCCATCAGTAGATAGAGCTGGGTGTCATCTGCATACTGGTGACAATCCAGCCCATACCTCTGGATAATCTGGGCGAGGTGTGTGTAATCGCAGCCTCAGTGTGCTCCCCCCCCCCCAGATGCAACATCAGCAAAGTGTCTTGTGGCACCTTAAAAGCTAATGCATTTATTGCAGCATAAGCTTTTGTGTCCCAAAGTGTACTTCCATCAGATGCATCAGATTACATTCGGTTGGCAGAGAGGGGAATGGAATAAGTCTCTGTTATGCCACCATCTTCTGAAAACATGAGCCCAGAGACTAGCTCCAGCCACAAACCTCAGCGCAGTTCAGTACTCATAGTTCCTCAAGTGTCACCACCAGAGGACCCGCTGGGTGTCATCTGCATACTGGTGACAATCCAGCCCATACCTCTGGATAATCTGGGCGAGGTCTGTGTAATCACAGCCTCAGTGTGCTCCCCCCCCCCCAGATGCAACATCAGCAAAGTGTCTTGTGGCACCTTAAAAGCTAATGCATTTATTGCAGCATAAGCTTTTGTGTCCCAAAGTGTACTTCCATCAGATGCATCAGATTACATTCGGTTGGCAGAGAGGGGAATGGAATAAGTCTCTGTTATGCCACCATCTTCTGAAAACATGAGCCCAGAGACTAACTCCAGCCACAAACCTCAGCGCAGATCAGTACCCATAGCTCCTCAAGTGGCACCACCAAACAATAGCCATTCAAAGGCTCAATCACCTGCAATATCTGCTGCTGTGTGTCAGCTGAGCCCTTCTACCATTTACACTGACGAGAGGAAACAGTTGCTACACAAGAGAATAAATGGATGCAAATCAGATATTAAAAATGGAAAATGCTCTGAAAACTGAGGTGGGGAGCTTGGTCCCTGGACATTTAGTAATGGGCTTGGAAGCTGCAGTACTTGTTTCAAAGGTAGAGCACTGGTGAGCAGCTGCTAACTTGCCTGGAAACAATGCCGGAAGTGAAGTGAACCCTAATCAAGCTAGTTTCTGTGTAGCAGGGTTCCCCCCACCCCACCCCAAGAAATATCCTGCAAAAACAGCTGATACAGATGTACGCCATTGTTATTTGGACCTAGGGTGATGAAGTAACTTACTTGGTAAGAGTATTGGCCTGATTTTGCACTGCTCAAGCATACTAAGTAAAAATAGGCCTCTTCCTCTAGTACATTATCTTTCCAGGCCCTGGACCATTCCCAGGACTTATCGACTTATATGGAACTGGAGGAGGTCTTGTGGAGCACAGAGCAAGCCTTCTGGCAAGCAGAGGTTTTGCTACACTGGCCCTTGCATACTTGGCCTTTGAGGATTTCCCAGCTTTCCCAGAATTCCTTGAACTGGATTATTTCGGTGAGGCAGTAGAGTTTTTGCAGAAACAACAGCAGGTAAGAGGCAAACTAAAATTACAGTATTTTTTCCCTTGCTCACCAGACACTGAATCCTGTTTCTAAAACAGAGATGTAAATGAATTTATGCACTGGGCTTCCTACAACTCACAATCCTTTGATGACAACATTACTGTGTTTATCAGGTGATAAGAAAAGGAAGGGGGGGGACTGAATAGATACCACTGAAATGCATCACAATCAGCTTTTAAAATAAGTTTTAGTTTGTAAGTTTTAACTGAATTACACAAGAGTTAGTCTTAAAACTTTATTGAATTTTCTCCACAAATCTGAAATGGGGCCTAGTTGATATTGAGAAATCCTCTCTTGTTGTTCTTTCAATCAGAAATTATGGACTCAAGTAGAGTTCACAAGCTTCATTCACAGGGCAATCCTAAACATGCCAACCCAGAATCTAATCAATGGGGCATTGTGAACAACACTGGAGTTTTTGTATTATAAAGTAACAGCAATATGTTCTAAACGTTAGGGTTTTATGGGACATACTGGGTTTTAGATAGGATAGGGTGGTAAAACAATCCACTTGGAGAAACCACAGTGGATGACCATCTTTGTTTCATTTTTGTTTCAGGTTAACGCTTTGGCAATTGGAGTTCTGGGGATCTCTAAAGGGGCTGATATGGCCCTAGCTCTTGCGACATTTTGGCCAGGCATCAAAGCAGCTGTCAGCATTTCTGGCACTGGTTTCAATACTTTTTCCCCCCTGAAGGTGAAGGGGCTTACAATCCCTGCCCTTTCATATAACCTGGAGAAGATGAAGGCTGTTGGTGATGCTGTGGATTTCTCTGAAATCCTGGATGATCCTAGGGACCCAGCTGCCTTGGAGTGCCGCATCCCGGTAGAGAAATCCTCATCCAAATTTCTTTTCCTGTCTGGGCAGGATGACAGGAACTGGCAAAGTGAGGCCTACTGCCAGGAAGCTGTTCAGCGCCTTCAGCAAAATGGACATCATGTGGAGTTCTACTGCTATTCCGGGGCGGGGCATCTCTTGGAACCACCCTATCTGCCTTTGTGTTATGCATCTATCAACAAGCCATTTTGGGTCACTATGCTCTGGGGAGGAAAATGGAGGGAACATGCAAAAGCACAGGAAGATGCCTGGCAAAGACTACAGAACTTTTTCAGACAACATTTGCAGGACTGTAGCATCAAGAGTCACTTATAGACAGGGGCTTTCATGTGTTTGTGAAGACACAAGTTACGAATGTGAAAACACAGCATTTCTCTTGGGTACTCTCTAATGCTTACAGCTAACCAGCCAAATTTGGCAAGTTTAGCTGTAACCTCAGGGCACCTACTTTCTAGGAGGTTCTTCAGTAATTGCGTCGTTTGACTAGTTGAGGATAGACTAGTTGTAGAGAGTGGGAGAATATCACAAAAGTGGCTATATGCCCTGCAGTCATATATAACATGCATTAAAGTTTCAATTCTGTCATTGCAACAGGGACATATACGATCAGTTTTTTAATTAAACCTCCCCTCTGTAACCGCTGAAGGTAGCACATCCGATCTCATGAGGGTAAACGTTCTCCTTAACTCATGATTTTCTAAATTAAAAAGATAGGGCATAGGCATTACCTTATACAGCGGTTCTAAGAGGGCTCGCCATTTGCATGAGCTATTAAAATCCTCCTGTCTAGCTATGTCCTGGATTCTCTGTCTCACTAACTCTCTCGCTTTGTCGTATCGGAGAGAGCTAAGAAATGGTTTTGAGAGGCCAAGGTTTTTTTCAATGGCCCTTAGCCAAGGCGGCACAAAAGTATCCTGGAAAATTAAACTTGCCAACCCTCTAGGAAAAAGTAAAAGTTTCAGACAAAAGGGCGCGGAGGCCAAGGCCTTCCCCTGATGTTGCCTCCGGGCAGTGGTATTCAGCGGTTTACTGCTGCCTGTGGAAATTCCCGTGGCTAGTAGCCACAGAAATGGGACTTCTACTGGAGTCAGATGTCACAAACAATACAGTTTGTTCATGTTAGGCATAATTCTGGCTATATTCTGCTGTGCCTTCCTTCTTCCCCTTACACTGAGATTGAAGAGAAAAGTCTTGAACCCCAGTTAGGTTTTACCCTGATTAACAATCTTAATTGTTGGCTTAGAAACAAACTTCAGTTAGTGAAGGCACCCACATTCAGACATCATGACTAAACGGAGTTAGTTGTACATATTAGCTTTCAGTCTTGGCACACTGTGGAAGGGAACATGAACCAGACATGTTCACCAAGGACAAATGGTTGGTGAACATGTCTCCCAGCTTCTATCTCTTGATCAAGCTGAGCTTTCAGCTTCATGCTTCTTCTCTACCCTCTCCAGGCTCCATTCCTCACATCTCCAAGAATTTCCCACCTGGAGTTGGGCTCAAAGCAAGGTCAAGAACAAGAAGTCTCAGAGACTTGAATTCTGGTCTTCCGGAATAAAAAGCAGCACTGGGAGCAGGGGTGGGATAACTCTCCCCTTTTCTGTTTTTCAAAACGCAGTTCCCCCACCCTAGCTGCTAGTAGCAGAGAAAACATGTTGGTACCTGAAAGGTATATGTTTTCCTTGGTTGGGCCAATAGCTTCAAGGAGGCCATTTTGAATAAGTTATAAACAGCCGCTCATCTAGCCCTGCTCCTTGAGACAGGCTCCTCCCATGGTTGCTTTGAATTTTAAAAAAGAAACATGTGCAGGAGATGCAATTGCTGATCTCCCAGTGACTCATTTACTTTGCCACACCGTTTACCTTTGCACTTGACATGCTTCACTTGTGTGAAGGCAGCTGTACAAAAAGGCCTCAGCAAGTGTGAGTGGGAGGATGATGACTGTTCTCTTCAAAATATGTCATGTGCTTATGCACTGAGGGAGCAGAACATTCTTTATGTGCTAGTAGGGATGACCCATCAATTTCAACTCTGCCCCTGAATTTAAGCTGAGTAATATGATTATTTAATTTGAAATCCCTTCAGTATTCAGTAAGAGGAGGAAATGTGGGGCAATCCCAAAAATATTGAAGTTAGCCACTAAAATATGTACTGTAGTGAAATCCATCTATTTTCAAAGAAATAATTCTACTACAATCATTTTTTGATATCACAGGGTACCAAATCTGTAGCTTTGTTGGGATGAAAGCTGAATTGAATGAATTTGTATAATGAAGAATTAAGAACATAAGAGCCCTGCTGGATCAGACTGGTAGTTCATCTAGTCCAGAGTCCTGTCTCACACAGTGGTCAACCAGTTCCTCTGGAGGTCCAACAGCAAGGTATAGAGGCTGAGGACTTCCCCTGATATTGACTCCTGGCATTGGTATTCAGAGGTTCACTGCCTCAGAAAGTGGAAGTTGCCTTTAGTCACCATGGCAACTGATAGACCTATCCTCCATGAATCTGTTTAATCCCCTTTTAAAGCTGTCTATGCCTGTGGCCATCACTACATCCTTCGACAGCAAATTCCATATTTTAATTACTGTGTAAATAAGCATTTCTTTTGGTCCACACTGAATCTACTGCCTGTCAACTTCATTGGATGCCCTCAAGTTCTAGTATTTTGGAACAGGGAGAAAAAGTTCTCTTTGTCAACTCTCTCCACCCCAACCTCTGTCATGTTCTCTGTTCACTTTCATAAAGAACTCCAAAAGCTCAGCAAGGCAGGACTTCCCTTTGCAGAAGCCATGCTTATTTCCCCTCAGCAGGCTTTGTCCGTCTATGTGCCTAACAATTCTGTCTTTGATTACAGTTTCTATTAATTTGCCCTGGATGGACAGTAGGCTAATTGGTCTGTAATTTTCAGGTTCCTGTTTGGACCTCTTTTTAAAAATCGGTGTAACATTTGCTAATCTCCAATCTTTTGGGACAGTGGCTGAATTTAGTTCAGTCAAGGCTGTGTTCTTGTCTGGCACTTTATGTCCCAGAGCACAATGCAATGCCTTCCCTGATGACAAGATCTTGTTGCTGCCCCCAGTGGTGGTGCCATCTTCATCGATTTCTCTTCAAGAAACTGAAAAAAGGATGGCAATCCTAGACTTAATCATGAGTGGTGCCCTGGTGCAAAATACTCATTAAAACATGTATAGAATATCTAGGATTGCCAGGCCCGGCCCAGGAACCATGAGGGGACAGCAACAGCGTGGTGTCACTTCAGGAAAAACCTGCAGGTGATGTCACTTCTCGAGGAATCACTGGAAACTCTTTGGTGAATTCATAGAGTTTTCAGTGACTCCTAAAGAGACATGACGTCACATCTGTGTTTGTCCTGGAAGTTGAATTGCACCATCAACCCAACTGTCTATACAAGAATATTTCTTTCCCTGCCTCTTGGATCGGTGGTGGGGAACAATAGGCAGGGGCCCCACCAGGGGACTGGCAAACCTAAGTATAACCTCTTCTCCACCAAGGGACTCAAAACAGGTCACACATATAAACTATGCAACAATAATAAACCAGCTAAAATCATTTTAGTGTTAACAGCATAATTAGCAGCTCAAAAGAAAACACAGACAAAGCACACTCCAGGAACGTTCCAGCCCAAACTGCTTAACAAAAATAAAAAACATTCTTCTCTAAAAATCCTTCTAAACAGAACTACTTCCTGAAGACTGGCAAAGTATGAGACATCCTAATCTCCTCCAGGACACCGTTCCAAAGAGTTGGGGGTCACAAGTGCAAAAGCTCAAAATCCATTTGATGCCAGTGCTGCAGTCCTAAAAGATGAAACAGCAAGAAGCTGTTGAAAGGAAGAGAGCCACCAGTGCACAAGTTCATATGAGGAGAAAGTAGTCCATTAAGGGAGCTGGGAACAGTGACCACAGCGTTAAAATTCAGCATCTGTTTAAGTGGAAAGTTGCCCACAGTACATTTCATTCCAAGAGAAGAAACTGCTCAGAAAATGAAGAGATTGATCACGGAGGTGATAAATAGAGTCAAAGTGCTTCCGTGACTTGAAAGTTATACAGAATTTAGTTACATTCCCCCAAAAGACTGGTCTCACAGTTTGGGGGATACTTTTAGGTGTCATGTAGCCTTTAGATAAACAGGTGTGAGAACTTGCCATGAAATACCTTTTATTAAATAACTAGGAAAAAGGCCCGTTGTGGAAATAAATACAACGAACTCTAGAAAGAGGCTCTGGGTGGGTGCCCTGGCCTTGGTCACTCAGTGTCAATTTTGCTGTGGCGACCTCAACAGGGTATAATGACACTGAGTCCACCGTTTTCTCCAGAGGAACTGATCTCTGCTACCTAAAGAACAGTTATAATTTGGAGTGATCTCCAGCCCTCACCTGGAGATTGGCAACGATGGTTCCCCAGAAGGGAATGGTTGGTTTGGAGGGTGGAGTCTATGGCTTTGTACCTGTCCGAGGTCCCACACCTCCTGAAACCTCACCCTCTCCAGGCTCCAGACCTCTGTGTTCCGAGGCAAAGGCCAATGAGGCTGCATATGCAAATAACCTCTGTGTTCTGACTGGCTATGGGGGGGAGAGGAACAGCAAACTGTTTAGAATGTTGGAGGCAAGACTCAAGCAATGCAGCCAGTGGATAGGGACAGATTCTGAGTGACACACCAGGGTGCCAACCAATTCCGGAGCGTGTGGAATGTTCTAGAGAAGTGCCACCACCATTCGGCTTTTATATATAAGGGAGCTGGTAAATCCACAGCTGCATCCATTCCTGCAGGAAACTAATTAAACCACAGTCACCCTTGCCTTGGTAACAGCCAGACTAGATTACCATTCTACATGGGTCTGCCCTTTAAAATGGTTCAGAAACTTCAAGGATGCAAAACATGGCTGCGAGAGTCTTTACTGGGATGCACTGGACCAATCACATGATGGTGGTGCTGCTTCAGCTGCACTGACTTCCATGTTTCTGGGATCAACTGAAGGATCTGGTTTTATTTATTTGCTTACTTCATTTATACTCTGTCTTTCTCCCAGAGGATTCAAAAAAATTAAAACAATAAAAATACAATAAAAGTAACAATGAACACAATAAAATGTCCTAAATATTTCCCACAAATGTTGAAACACTAAAAAATTCACTTCACAAAAAGGCTGTTTCCATTACACACATTCCACAGAATGAAAGTAGTGTGGGAGTCTTCTCGATGTTACCAGGTTGCTTCTGAAGTTGTGTATTGCTTGGGTACTGAGTGTCTAAAAGGCTGCCCCCATCCATATCATCCTGCCTGGTTCTGAGTTCCATGCACAGTGCCTTCCTTTTTCAGGGGAAGGTTAGGTTGGCTGGGATCAGTGGAAGGGCCTTTTCAGTGGCTGCACTCAGCCTGTTGAATTCTAAACATTCATTTGTAGAAAACCTTTGAAATCAGTTGAAACAGCAAATTACACTGTTTCTGTTTACATTTTAAACTGTATATTAGCTACAGGAGACAACTAGGAGGCCAAAATGGCCCTGAAAAAGGGCCATACTCCCTTCCCCTGCTATGGTCTCCTTAGCTGATGGAGTGCTGGTGAACTGGCTGAAGAGAAAGGAAGCTCTGCTGTGCTGCTCCTCAAAGGCAGCGCTCTAGGAGTGGTACCCTGCTATGGTCTCCTTAGCTGATGGAGTCCTGGTGAACTGGCTGAAGAGAAAGGAAGCCTTTTCTCTGCTGTGCTGCTCCTCAAAGGCAGTGCTCTAGGAGTGGTGGAAGGTCTCTGGGATGT